TTTTTTTTTTTTTTTTTTTTTTTTATGTTCACGCTTTTCGGTGGCTTTGTTTTGACAAAAGACCTCTTCTTCCTACTCCTTTTCTCTTTCTACTTTATTCCCAGTCATCTTTCAGGATCTAGCTAAATGTTTTTACCCGTATAAGTCCTTTTCAGTCATTTCTTCAGTGTCTACACTTTCATTGTGCTTAGTTTTATTTGTTGCAGGCTTATCAGTTTGGATTCCACTGCTATTTGTAGATGCTGTATATACAGACATGTAGTGGTACTCTGCAGTGAACCACGTCATTTGGTCCTAGGAGAGCCCTACAATCTAGATGATGTTATCTATCCCCTCTTACAGATATGAGGAAATAGAGGAGTTAGAGAAGTGGAGTATCTTGACCAGAGTCATCAGGCCTGTGATACAAGAAAGAACCACTCAGGATCTTCCACTTTGACTTCTCTTTTACAGATGAGGAAATTAAATAACTAGAGTATCCATGAGACTTGGCCAAGGTTACATAATAGAATTGGAACTGGGGTCTGATTGTAAATGTTAAAGTTCAGTGTGCTTTCCTATTGTACAACCCTGTATGGTTTGAAATTTGTCAAATATATAGTTCTCTTGACTAAATTTTGAGTATGGGTGGGAGAGTAGAAAGGGAATCAGTTGTGTTTGAATCTTACCTTTTTTCACTTTTTATTAACTTCCTCACATAAATTTATACTGCTTGGTATTTAAGATTATCTTGAAGATGACAACTAAATGTGTACAGTGCATTTATTGTATTTACAGTAGTAGACATTCTGTGAATATCAGCTATCTCTATAGTTATCAAAGAAATTGAGGGCAGAATCTCTACTTAGTTCCTCCTCGGTACTAGCCATGCAAGTATTTAGAATCTAACTTGTTCATTTGAGAAACATTGACAGATAAATGGTCATGAAGTCAGAAGATTAGGTCAGGACTCCCAAGAAAGATTCTCTTGAGGGGAAGAGAAGAGGACCAGCTGGTACACTTGAAGTGATGGACAGGATGGAGGTCCTACATCTCAGTGTGGGTCATTGAGCTGTTCCAGAGGAATGTTGCTATTAACCCTAGACGTCTGCAGGATCATATAGTGTATTCGGTTTAGGACAATCTTTGAGTGGAATTGTCCAGCCTAACTGGGAAGGGTTTGTTTTGCATACTTAAAACAGTATTTGTCCCACTAAAACAAGGTTATCCAGACTATATAGCAGAAGGGTGGTGGTGAAAGAAATTAAAATAATGGGGAATGTTATTTTTAGTCTGTTATTAGAGTATTTATTTTCTTTTTAATTCCTTTCTGTAATTTTGTTTTTGTTTTTGTTTTTAGACTTGTAAAGAAACCAAGGATGTTAGTGCTCTGACAAAAGCAGCTGATTTTGTAAAGGCCTTTATTCTTGGATTTCAGGTGGAGGTAAGTGATTTCACACCTATAATGGAGATTGGGGAGGGTACTGGAATTGCAACTAACACCTTCACACTGAGATGTATTCCCAGCCCTTTTTAATTTTAAGACAGTGTCTCACTAAGTTGCAAAGTCTGGGCTTGAATTTGCAGTCCTCCTGCTTCAGCCTCCAAAAGTGCTGGGATTACAGGCATGCCCCAGTGCACACAGCTAGAAAAATATTTAGTATGGACAATTCGATGGAAGGGTCATTTTTGAAATGTGAGTGTTCTAGCGCTAGAGTTGTTTTAGTCCCCCATTACTTCCTGTGTCAGTCATTCTCAAGTATTGTATCTTGGTGATGAAAGGACCTTCAGGGTGTTTATTTTTATATTCTAGGATGCACTTGCCCTCGTCAGGTTGGATGACCTCTTTCTAGAGTCTTTTGAAATTACAGATGGTAAGTCTGTGGTCTTCTATGAAAAACTTTTCTGTTGCTGATTTTGCATTGTATTTTGATTCTTAATTTTTTAATAGCTCAGTTGAGCTGGTTATTAGCCCTTTAAAATATGTTCATTTATCTAATAGTTGACGTGGAAGGAGCAGTGCATTGGAGTAGCTTGCCACCTGATGTCTTGCTTTTCTCCTTTTAGTTAAGCCTCTAAAGGGAGACCACCTGTCAAGGGCAATAGGAAGAATTGCTGGCAAAGGAGGAAAAACCAAATTCACCATAGAGAACGTGACACGGACACGGATAGTTTTGGCTGATGTGTAAGTTTCTGAACTTGTGAAAATTAGTCTCACAAATTTATATTTGGTCTTTTGTTAGTTGGAAAAAGTCCTAAAAGCTGTGTTTTATATGTAATATTACCACTAAAACTTTGTCGGTGTATGTTTCTGGATGAATGGTCACCTATTTTGAAAGGAGATTGAATTTGTTGAGAAAATTTCAGTAATTATAGCTTTTAGTTAGCAGTGAAGGAAATGATTGGAATCACTATTAAAAAGAAATTATAGGTAAAGATTTTGGTAGGGACACCTATTAAATCAGTAGGAGAGGACAAATAATAGATGTTTCAAATGACTTGTGAGGCTTTCCTGTTTTAAAGTACTATGTACATTTTATATAGATACATATTTTAATATAAATATGTGTGTATAAGTACATATATTCTCCAGGTCTTTCGTAAAAGGAAGATCAGAGCATTTATTGTACATTGGTTAAAAATCTATCAAACAGTTTCATATTAACATAAAATGACACAGGCTTAAAATGAGAGTAAAGGTGGCAGAGGTGAAGCTGGGATTACCCCTTCCTGAGAATGAAGCAACTCTGCTACCAGTTTGAGGATCTTACTAATACGTGGCTCAGAGCTTACATAATGCCATGAGGTTGGCAAGTGAAGCAGATGACGGGAAGAAGGGCCTGCTTGCAACTAAATACAAAAATAATCGTTTAATAGCATCTTTTGCACACATTTTTGGTCTTGTATAGGTTGAGCCTGGGGGCTAAAATATGAGCTGTGGAGCTTTTTTCCATTAGACATTTAAAAAATGTGGATATGTGTACTATATTTTAAATATTGAATAAATGGGACCAGGGATTTAGCTCAGTAGTTCCGCCACCTGCCTTGCAAGTATAAGGACTGGAGTGCAATCCCCGACACCAAAATAAATAAGTAAATAAATATTGAATAGAGCCCTGAAAGTTTTTGTTGAACTTTTTTGACCATTTCATATAAAATTTGTTGTAAGTATCCAATTCAGCGAGTTGGCAAGTATAACACAGTCTTGTAGCCCCGACATACCATACTTCCACTGTCCAGCATCCTAAAACATTCCTACTGCATATTTACAAAAATTCCCCTCCCCCACTCTGTTTTGGTCATTGCTCTACTTTCTGTCATTGTGCTTTTGCCTTTTCAAGAAATTCATATAAATGGAAATACCACAGTATGTCGGCTTTGGTATATATCTTCTTTTAGTTAACATGTTAAGTTTCTCCATTTTGTTGCATGTTTCAGTAGTTCCTTTTTATTGTCAAGTGTTATTCCATTATGTGGGTATATTGTATTCACAGTTGATAGATATTTCACTTATTTCATTTGGGGACTTTATGAATAACATTGCTTTAGCATTGTAATATCTTTTGTGGGTTTTTTTTTTTACAAACTGAATTATAAACTACTTGAGATTAAAAAGACATTCTGGGGCTGGGGATTTAGCTCAGCGGCTCGGTGGCCTCCCTTGCAAGCGCAAGGACCCGAGTTCAATCCCCAGTATATAAAGAGAGAGAGACCAAAAAAAAAGAGAGAGAGACATTCTGTCTTGCGGTTTTTGCTGTAACTATGCTAATTGGAAATTACTTATTTAACAGTTTATATTAGTTACAAAATATCCATAAGATAGACTACTATGGACATGTAAATGGTATTTTTTTGTTGGTTTTTTTTTTGTTTTGTTTTGTTTTTGGTACCAGGGATTGAACTTGGGTCCTTTTGCTTGCAAGGCAGGTGGTGGAACCTGAGCTAAATCCCCGTCCCTGTAAATGGTATTTTTGATGAGTTGCTAGCAACAACAGTAAAATGTGAGGCAAGATATAAAAGTAAAATCAGTTTGTTCTAAATAATCTGTATCACATGGGAAATAATGTTGCCTATGTTCCTTGAGACTTGTATTCTTTTCTAATTATTTCGCATTACTTTGGTTCTTTTCGTAGCAGAACTACTCATACTTTATTCTTGTTTCTGTCTCTTTAATTTTCATACTGCATTTTAAATAAACTTACTCTTAGCAAAGTGAGACATATGTAGTTTGAAAAGTCAGAAATATCTACTACCTACCTCCATTTTACCCTCCTCAGAAAAGCTAGTTTCAGCTCTCTTATTAGATAATTTTTTAAATTACTTATCTTCATCTGGGGGCAGTGGTATAGTACTTCTGTAATTGCATCTACTCAGGATGCTGAGGCAGGAAAATCATGAGTTCAGGCTGGCCTGTGCAACATTTGGGAGACTATTGTCTGGAAAAAAATTATCTCAGTATTTCAAAAATATCTTTATATACAGCTTCTTGGTTTATTTTTCAGATTTACTATTGACATTCCACCATGAAAGATACTTTATTTCACATTTTCGGGCCTCTGCACACACTCAGCTTTTTTTTGTTGTTTTTAAGCACTTTAGCTTATTCCTCCCAATGTAACCACCTTGTGTCTTCCAATAGACCAGTGCTCAGTCTTACCTTAAAACAGAAAAAGTCAGTGTTCGCGATATTCATAGATGAGCCAGATGATACTTCTCTTTTGCAGCTTTGCTCTCACTTGAGGAAGTAATTCTTACTTGCTAGTGTGCTTTCTTCATTTTCAGTGTACTACTTCACTAAAGAGCTATACATCCTCTGTATTTGTGTGCAGCTGATGTTTTAGAAGTCTCCTGGAGCCTTCTGTTCCAAAAGTACTCTGCCCTCTGGCCATCATGTTGGCTTCTTCTTTCTCCTTTGGCTCTTAGCTATTAGAAACCCTGGTTCTTGACATCTTTTTCCTGAAGTTCTGCTTCTGTATATTCCCATTGGTAAGGTAGGTGTTGGTTTACTTGAATCCGTGAAGTCGTTTCTACCTCGTTCATCTGCTTTCAACCTTTGCAGAGTTTACTACTGTCACCATCCTTCTTTCTTTTGAGTTTATGTCTTACCTATCATTTTAGTAACATTTGGGGATGAAGCACACATAAATTTGTGTGTTCAACCATCTGGATATATAAAAACTGGCTTCCATTTGAGAGATGTGTTTTAGTTATAGCAAGGTGAAGAGTTAACAGAAGTTGAAGATTCGGAGGATTTAGCTCATAGCTTTTGTGGAGTGCATGGTGGAAACATTTTAGAAAATAGACTCAAAAAGGCAAAATTCTGAATTATCAATCTTATTTGAGTCATCGGGTAAGGAATGATCCCAACATGTTAAAGAAACTGAGATGACCTTTAAAAAACTTTGCAGTTGATGGGCTGGGGATTTGGCTCAGTGGTTCTGCCACCTGCCTCGCAAGTGCAAGGGCCCGAGTTTGATCCCCAGTACCAAAAAAAAAAAAAAGTTAAAAAAAAACTTTGCAGTTGAAACTGAAATATGTTTTAATTTGAGTACCGTATATTTGTGTTTCTAGGTATTCAATGACTAGCTCTGGCAGTGTGTATTCTTCGACAGATTTCTTATTTTCTTGTTTTTTCCCCTTAGTCCTATGCAGCATGTTCTATATGCTACAAAAGTGCTCTACCACTGAGCTACATCCGCAGCCCTACATTTCTGACATACCTTCTGTATCTCTACTATGGAATTAACATCTACCTAATAAAGCTCACGTGAAGATTAAGTGAAAATATATATATAAAATCCTAACATAAAAGTACTCATTGGATGGTAGCTGCTATTAACTGAGAATCTTAAAAGAAATTCTTAGATTGTTTTTAATATTTTTGTCTTTTCTAATAATTTTTATTGGTATACAATTCCCATATCATCAAATCCATTCCTTTCAAAAGTGATTTTAAGAGTATTTACAGAGTTGTACAGCCATCACCCCACCTTCAATTAGGAATCTGGGTCTGTCATGATTTTACAGATTTTGGATTATAGGATATGGGTAAAGAAATACTTTTTGTAGCTAACTTAGGGACTTGTTTTACTTTATCTTTTTCAGGAAAGTCCACATCCTTGGCTCTTTCCAAAACATCAAGATGGCAAGGACTGCTATTTGCAACCTCATCCTGGGTAACAGTTTCTTTCTTTGGTATTTGTCTGGAAAGAACAGGGAATTTAGAAACTCAGAAATACTGACAAACCAACTTTAGGATAATGTTAAAGATAGAATGTCAGTTCCCTCAGGAGTTAGTGAGTTTGGGTCTAGAGAAAAATGAATAGGAATTTTTTGTTCTTTTTCTTTTTCTTTTTTTTAAGACAGGGTCTCACTATGTAGTTGAGACTGACCTAGAACTCACTATGTAGCCCAGGCTGGTCTCAAACTCTCAGCGATCCTCCTGCCTCAGCTTCCTGAATGCTGGGATTACAGGTGTTTGCCACCATGCCCAGCTATGAATAGGAATACTTTGTTTAGATTCCATTTTTTAATTAAAGGGTTTATTAAATATTGCTGAAATCTCTGCTGCTTTCTCATGAGAAAGTGCACAGAAATAAGCAGGGAGCATCACATTGTAGTTTCAACAAAAAGGAAGCTGCCAAACAGCTTCAGTCAATTTAATGGATCCACTTAATCTGAGTTATAGCATCATAGCACCTTGCTCAGAAAACCTTAGGATTCTGTTCAAGTGACCAGGGCTGGCTGACTGGCATCTTTATAAATATTTTGATAGTACTTTTGGCTCTTAGAAAAAAATTTAGAAAATCATGAGGATAATTTTCTGTAAGATTCTCTCTTGGTGATTTAATATAATAAACCTCTAATAAACCAGGTATGGTGGCACAAGCCTGTCAATCCAGCTACTTGGCAGGCTGAGGCATGAGGATATGAAATTTGAAGCCAGTCAGAGCAACTCAGGAAGACCCTGTCTAAAAAAAAAATAATAAAAGGGCTGGGGTTATAGCTGCCTATTCCTGAGATCAATCTCCAGTAATATTTTTAAAAATTTAATTAAAAAACTGTCCTTGAGCCGGGTGTGGGGGTGCACGCCTGTAATCCCAGAATTTGTAATCCCAGGCAGGAGGATCACTGTGAGTTCGAGACCAGCCTGGGCTACATAGTGAGTTCCAGGTCAGTCTCAACTACATAGTGAGACCCTGTCTCTAAAAACCTGTCCTTGTTTTTTGTAGTAGTAGGGATTAAACCCAGGGTCTCACATGTTATGCAAGTGCTCTGTCACTAAGTTACCCCCGTCAGCATTTTTTATTTTTTATTCTAAGAGTCTCATTAAGTTGCTAATTTGCCCAGGCTGAACTGAAGCTAGTAGTCCTCCCTCAGCTTCCCAGGGTGCTTGGATTACAGCTGTGTACCATCACGCCTAGCTCTGTCCTAGTTCTTCCTAGGGTGAGAGACCCCATTCTGTGGGGTTTTTATATATGTAAGTATACTTGTACATATATATATATATAGCTAATTCTTTTTTCCTTTACAGGAAATCCTCCATCAAAGGTTTATGGCAATATTCGAGCTGTGGCTAGCAGATCAGCAGATCGGTTCTGATTTCAAATTAGAGACTTATCTTTGGACTCTAAAGAAAAAGACCTTGTACTCTTCGGGTGGTCACACCAAACCATATGAAGAATGTCTAAGTCACTTTAAGCCTGGATCTTTTCTTACATTCTCAGCCACCAGCATAAACAGAAGGGAAAGGTTTAATACTATTCACACTCAGTAATATTAAGGAAAATTTAAGTATCAAAATGTAATGTAGAATCCTCTAAAGGAAACTTACTGCATCAACAGTTCTATATAAACTGGGTTTATTTATAATTTATAAACATTTCTTCTCTAAGTTGTAATTGAATCATGTCAAAACCTATGAATCATGACCCTTCATTAATGTGTTGTGTGGATATTTTATAATTAAATCATAATCTGCTTTTTGGCTCTACTGTATAAACCAGTAAGTGCAATTGTCATACTCATTTTGCATTTTAGAAAATTAAAGCCTTGGGCCAGGGATTTAGCTCAGTGCCACTGTGCTTGCCTTGCAAGCACAAGGTCCTGAGTGATCCCTGGC